ATTTTGTTTTTATTTATATATATATATATATATATTTGTAAAATTGAACAAGTATAACACTTTTTTTTTCTTTTTTTCTTTTTTCTTTTTTTTTTAAACAACAATTAACAAATAAAACAACTTTTTTTTTTTTAAATCAAAACTAAGCATTTCTACCTTCTATTGACATCCGAAATAAATATAGTACATAAGAAAATAACGGAATGCCCCACTAAAGGTATAATCTTCACGCGAAAACCACGGGTACTACTTTTCTCCCTAACTGTGTTTGTAACTTTCCCTATTCTCTGACAGGGTGACAGACTAGGTTGATTTAGTATCCAGAATCAAGGCGCATAAAGCTACCTCAACCTATGGGGCTGCCATACAGAGTTCAAGCCGAGGTAGTTTTGAAGCAATCTCCACGCCCCTGGGTATTTAAACCAGACTCTAGTCTCGGAAATCCCAAACCTTTGTGTTCTAGGCTTTGCCATTCGAACTCTAGTTTTCACCGTCTCAGTTGGTCTCCTAGGAACTCACTACAAACACGGTTAGGTTGCTATACCAGACCGTCAGATGCCGTTCGGGCACGGCTAACACCAAAGGAATTACACCTTTAGAGAATTTAAAGTCTCCTAGACGCAAATAAAGCATGACGAGAACAAAGAAAAACAAAATAACATAGAAGAGAAAGAAAAGAGAATAAGGAATCAATCTATCAATCATAATAAAATGGGTCCATCAAACCCCTGGGTAAAGGAAAATGATCCTTCCTAGTCGAGGAATTTAGTCTCCTATAATCAATGCAGCCTCGCCACCCAGTAGTGGTTCGTGTGGGGACTAACTCTCCTCCCTCATTCTCAACAACGGTGATGCCCGATTTCTTGGGCACCACTTGTGTGGGACTCACCCACTTGCTATCTGAGATGGGGTATATGATACCCGCATCCAACAATTTCAAAACCTCCTTCTTCACCACCTCTTTCATATTAGGATTCAGTCTCCGTTGCATTTCGTGAGAAGGTTTGGTGTGCTCTTTTAGATGTATATAATGCATACACACGGAAGGATCTATCCCTTTCAAATCAGCCACTGACCACCCTATAGCACTCCGATGTACCACGAGAACACTCATTAACTGACTCTCCTGCGCTGCAGTCAAGTCAGATGGGCAAAGCCTCCTCAACAATCTCATCCACAACATCCACTAATAAGCACTCCTCTCTCTCATGAGGTTGTTGGGATGCTTGGAAAACATTAAGTTTCACTTGCATGTTGCCAAATGAAACTTCCATTACCCCGGTCCGACAATTTATGCACGCATTGGCCGTAGCCAAGAAAGGTCGACCTAAGATCACCGGGATTTGTTTCTTAGAACTGGTTACCGGTTCCATGTCTAACACCAAAAAGTCAACAGGGAAGTAGAACCTATCAACCTTAACTAGCACATCCTCAATCATGCCACGTGGCACTCTGAGGGATCGGTCAGCCAATTGAAGAGTGACAGTAGTGGGCTTCAACTCGCCAAGCCCAAATTCCTCGTACACAGAGTACGGCAATAAATTGACACTAGCCCCTAAATCTAATAAGGCCCTATCAATGAAATGGTCCCCTATAATGCATGCAATGGTTGGCGCACCCGGGTCCTTAAGCTTAGGAGGTGTGTCATTCAACAAGATGAAGCTTACTTGCTCCGTGAGTAGGACCTTTTGGGACACATGTGTCCTAGATTTACGCTTTTGCGTACAAAGGTCTTTCAGAAATTTGGCATATGATGGTACTTGCTTAATCGCCTCCAACAGAGGGAGGTTAATTTTTACTTGTTTAAAGACATCCATCATTGCCTCCATAAATGCCGCATTCTTATTAAAAGGGGACGGTGTATCGAGGCATTGGGGAAAGGGTGCCTTTGGCACATATGGAGTGCTAGGGACTAACTCATCCCTCTTAAGTGTTTCCCCCTCACCCTTGCTCTCATTAGGTGTACCCCCATGGTCACCCTTCTTAACTTTAGTTGCATCTGGCACAACTGACTGAGGCTCTAACTCCCTACCACTTCTTAAAGCAACCACCGCCTGCACTTGCTTATGTTGCTTACCATTCCCACTCGAACTCTCTGCCCTATATTGTCCCTTAGGGTTGGCCACAGTTTGACTTGATAATTTTCCCTCCCCTCTCCGATTCATGTTGTTAGCCATTTGACCCAATTGGGCCTCTAGCTTGGCAATAGAGTGAGTGTGGGAGTGAACTATCGGTGCTAACCCTTACAGGTTCTGAAAGAACTTCAAACACCTGAGTCTCAAAGCGCAGAGTTGTCCTGAGGAACAGGCGGGGGTTGTGTGACGTATGGTTTGTGGGGTCTAATACGGTTCTGCGGTGGTCGTAAGATGATTGGTTGGGCAAAAATTATTGAAAGTTCTGCCTTGAGTGGTGGAGGTTGTAAGAAGTGCCTTGTGAAGGCGGGCCTCCATGAGAAATTAGGGATTTTCCACTCCCGATTTTTCTGTGTTGGAGTTATGGGTATTACCCGGGTTGGAGAATCCTTTGAGCCGCATTCACATGCTCTTGGACTAAACTTCGGAATTTGATGCCGTAGGGGCACTCACTCAATCATGAGCAGCGGCTCGGAATATTAACAGATGCCTCGTGAAAATTGAGGCTGATCTTGCTGGGTAGGGGCATGTCCCGTAGCTAATAAGTGGTCTATCTTGCAGGACAGTGCCTTTACTTGTTGGGCTAACTCTAGGTTTTGCCCGACCTCATAAATGCCCCCTCTTTTCGGGGCTCCAACTACTGGTTGCCGGACTTGCCGGGCTGCGGAGGCATGGTGAAGGGAATTATCACTTAGGTTCTCAAACAATTGCCATGCCTCGGCATCATTTTTAGACATAAATGTCCCACCACAAGATGAGTCCACCATTTGGCGGTGTGGCTCAGTTAAGCCATAATAAAATGTTTGAACAAGTTGCCAATTAGGCACTTGGTGGTGGGGACACTGTTGGAGAAGGTCTCTAAGTCTTTCCCACATCTCATGGAATTGCTCGCCATCTATTTGAGCAAAGTTTGTGATGGCTCGCCTAAGCTGGTTGGTTTTACCTATGGGATAGTACTTCTCCAAGAACCGTTGCTGTGATTGGTCCCAAGTTGTGATTGAATTAGCAGGTAAAGAATTTAGCCAGTGTTTGGCTTTATCCTTTAACGAGAATGGAAACAATCGCAACATTAAGGACTCATTTGTGAAATTCTGGATCCTCACTGTCGAGCAAATTTCCAGAAATTCATTCAAATGCTTATAAGGGTCATCATGAGTTAGTCCATGGAATGATGGGAGCATTTGTATAGTGCTGAACTTAATCTCATAATGAGCAGCATTGGTGTTGGGTAATTGGATGCATGATGGTGATGTATATGCGGTGGGTGTAAAATAATCCTTAAGTGCCCGGTTAGGCTCATTCGGGACATTAGGATCTGCCATCTCTAATGGCTCAATGTATGAATATTCAAGCCTAGGAATACGGGCAGAGGTCCTAAGTCTCCTAAGGGTCCTTTCTAGTTCAAGGTCCAAACTCCACAATTCAGGGCGACAAGAACGACGCCCGTGCATACACTATCCAAACACACACAACAAGTTCCGACTCTGTGCACTAAGTATGAAAGCAAAATACCAAAGGAAGAAATACTCACAGCGGTTTAACAAAAACGCTTTACTCGTCTTGCGGATGCTTGACGTGTAGACGTTATCTCCAATCTCTGTTTGAGCTTCCGTTTAGCACTTTGGTGCTTTGCTTGTGAGTGTTTGCTTCTGTTTACTCACTTTAGCGCTGTGGGTTTTTTTTTTTTTTAAAGCTTGGCTTCGCTCCGCTTGCACTTCAGTGATAGCTCCAATTTCAAACGCTCTGCACACTTAGCAACACCAAAAGCATAAAATCCTAAACTAAAAATTAAAATAAGAATGTAACTTTAAATTAACTAATTTTGCCAGAAGTCCCCGGCAACGGCGCCAAAATTTGATGGGTCGTTGAACACACCAAAATTAAATACTAAACTATACCAAATTCTATCAGAATAATGGCAAGTCCAGGTATCGATCCACAGGGACTATTGTGAAATTAAACTAATTTAATTGTCAAATTCCTAAATTAATTTTGATAAAAAGATTGGTTGTTTATAACCTAATTTAATAGCGAATAAATTAAACTAAGGAATTAAATTATCAATAATAAATCAAATTGGGTTTACTGAATTAGGGAAAAATCCTAGGGTAGAGAATTCACCACTAACCACATAATTAGGGTTTCTAATTGAAATTAATTATGCTATGGTTTGAACGGATTAATGCTTCGCAACTACAAGCTCAAAGCATTTAACAAGAAGATCATCACATTCAATGTACAAGCACGAACCATCTCAAGTAATACGAATCGTTCACTCTAAACTAGGGTAGTGATACGACTCGTTCCTCGTAGCATGGTTCGTCCCATACCTTGAATGTGAAGGAATAGAAAACTCATGTATGGATAATATTCAACAATCACAGAAACTCAAATATTTGAAAAGATAATGAAAATTATATATAAAGAATTTCTAAAACACCATACAATGGTTCAAACCTTTACATAATATAAAATCAAAAAAGAAAAACCTATTACATGGCTAGGGTTTCTTCAAAACCCTAGAAAATGAGACTAGCCACTCATGGAGGAGTGGGAGGAGGTAGATGGAGAAGGAACCACCATGGGAGACATCTTTGAAGCTTCTTGTTTCTTCCTCTCGAAACCCTAGCCTCTCTCTTTAGGTCAAAACAATTTCAGAACCCTAATCCAGCCTTTTACTTGCCTTTTTATACTTCCAATCTCGTCCAAACAGGTTTAAAACGTCGGTTTGACTTTCCCAGAAAAAGTCAACGCACGTGCGGAAAAGTCAATGCACGTGCGGAAAAAGTAAACGCACGTGTGGGAAAGTCAACTCTGCCCAAATTCTGTCTTTTTGCTCATTTTATGCTCCGACGATGTACAACCTGATTGACACTCAACACACATAAAATATACAGTTTGACCAACAAGTGAAATTAAGAGATTCTAATTAACGGCCTCAATGATGTATATTTCGGCTTTAATAAAAAATGTTGGTCTCGAAAGGAAGTAATTCAATATTAAATGTACAATTTAATCATTAAAAATACAATAATAATATTTTAATAACTAAAAATATTTGATTCTTAAAAAGTGATTTTATTCTTAAAATTTTCATTTGATATAGTGATAACATTTTGGGTGAAGGCCTGAATGGGTCAACATGGCAGGAAGGGAGCAGGCCAAGAGAGGGATTTGGGGTGGCTATTGCGTATAGTGCTTAACTGCCAATATTACATGGTTTATTGGGCTATTTTGAGGTCTATTTAGATGATTTAAATTATTTATTTTTTAAAAAGTATTGTGTAAAACATATTTGTAAAAAAATCAAATTAATTGGACATTAATAGCATTTTTATCAAATTACATTTGTATTTAGTTTTACATTTCAAATTACACTTACTAGTATATCACCCGTGCTATGCACGGATTATGTTTACAATTATTTGTACATATATGAATTGTGATTTTTAAATGTCTTTCTTTTTTTTTTTATACATAGAAAAAGAAATATAACCAATACAGCATATCTTCAATCAATTATTTTATGTTTGCTTTTATTCAAAATTTAAAAACAATATATGGGCAAAAATTATAGCTAAATTAAGAAAAAAAATTATCCCTAACAATATTTTTTTACTTCTATATAAATTCTTAAAAAAATAAATCTGAAAATAAAGTCAATATAATATTATACATTAAGTAAAAAAAATTGATTAGCAATTATGTTTACATAAATTTACTATAGTTTTAATTTCAAATTTATATATATATATTAAAAGCATTTTATTTAGATAGTACCAAATAGAATTTTCTTAGCAAAAAAGAAAGTTATAAAATTTTGTTACAAATTTTCAAATGTCTATTATTAAACATTTTATTCTACTTGCTTGCTTTGGGAGTTTTGATATTTGATCTTTGCTCTATATTCATCATATTGTTTTATTTATTTTTCTTCTTCTTACTTGATTTTCACATGATACTTCTTTTATAGCGCATCTCCGAGTATATTAGTGAAAACATCATACACTTTAATGCACAAAATTACAATATATAGAAGAAAAAAAAAAGTAAGTAATTGCTCAAAACTAAAACTACTTTAAGAAAGAATAAAAAATAAAAACAAAAATAAAATTGTTTGAAATAGAAAATGATGTACTTATTTATTTATTAATTTTTAAAAATAAACTTTTAAAGAAAACGAAGAAAACTATAAAATAAAATAAAAAAAGTACAAAAACCAAATATAAAATATAATACAAAAAATAAATAAATTATAGGATTTTCAAGAAGTGAGACTCACAAATAAATTTTATAAAATCTTGTCTATTCATATACTTTTTGGGTATATTTCTTGTGCTTCTAATCCCGAGAATAACATTGAAATAGTCTACACGTCTTGCATTAGATCCATCTAATAGTTTTAGCAAACATAGATATAATAAATTTCATAACACAAAATACAAAAAATTGTGAGACAAAGTATCTAAAAAAAATAAAGGCGACGTTCAATGATGATGTAGAAACACACCTGACGTTTTAATTGGAGTTATAACCAGATAAATCGCCATAGAAGATGAAGACAACCTTTATTTTTCATCACAACAATTACATAACTCAATATATAATTTTAATGTCTCTCACTCTTCCACACGTCCAATTCTTTATCAATATTAAAATGAAGGGACATTTACACATGTTTTGACAATTAATGGTAGCATAGGTCCTACTCACAAAACTTTAAACTTACAAGTCCTATGTTAATTTTATATGACCAATTTACTCTTACAAATTGAAAACCCCAAACATTTTGTTCCCCACACTCTCTTTGACTCTCTCTCTCTCTTACCATTTCGTTCCTTCCCCCTCTCTCTATCCATAATTCTTTTAACTCTTTCACTTCATAAATGAATCACTATTAGCAGATCTATAAAAGCAAAGCACTCATGGCAGCAACCTCACTTCTACTTGTCAACTCTCCGCTCTTAGCCTCTTCATCTCCCTCCCTTGGTCTCCAAGCAACAGTATTTTCTTCACAGACCCAATTCTCAGCTCGATCCCAATCC